CACACTTCTGTCAAAACTCTGCAGCTTTGAGTGTTTGTGTGACTAAATACTGCATAAATGAAACCAAAACATGCTGTGTACCATAGAAGGTAATAATGGTATCTGACTGTGCGCTAGTAAGAGTTCTGTTCTCCTCTTGATTCAACTCTAACAGGCCAGCAGCATGATGGTTGGGGAAGGTGCAAATGCTATTGAAGGATTTCTCTGTTTAATATCATGGAAGAGATGGGGAGAGCCTTGATAAAATCACTGGTGTGGTTCTGAAGTAGGCACAGACCTGTGCCTATGTGTTGTCATCTTTGAAGGTGGCATGGCATTTGAAATAATAGTTGGCTAAGTAAATAGGATACTCTTCTTTCATAGAGGCATCAAGTGGGGATGTTGCTGGATGTGAAGGTCCTTGAGGCTGTGGGGACTGCCTGAAATTGAGCCCTTGTTCTGGTGTTTTTGTTGCAATGTTAAATGGGGAATGCTGTAATTCTTCCCTCCAAAAGGGATTGAGACTTGATTAGGTCTCAGTCATTGAGAGGTCTCTGTCTGAAGCGGACAAGGGCTGGGGGCACAGACTTTCTTCAAGAAGCTGAAGAAATGATTTTTGACTACTTTTATACCATTGCAGTATTAATGACCAAGGAATGGTCCTTTAAGGAAATGAACTTGCAAGACAGATTTGGAGCTGGTCAGTGAGACAGGCTGAATATTGTTCCATGTGCATCTGGGCTGAATGGCCTCTGTAGTAAAAGACTGTTGACTGTGATCTCTGCTGAGCAGTTGAAGTTGGCTTGTAGAATTGGTATCTCACTTCTGTTTTGAATTTCAGTTGTGATGGCACTCCCTGGCCCCATGTGAGGATGGGAAAACTGGATATAGAATGCAAAGACAGAAAAGGTGTAAACCTTACAGTCATTCTGCAGGCCTGGTAACCAGGCTCTAAAGTCCCCCTTTGCCATAGTGCCATCATGGCAACAATTGTTACTGTTCATGGGCACCATATTACACTCACTGGGCCTCACCAATGCAGACACCACAGGGTACTGCACCAGCCCAGACTGGCCACTACCATGAGTCTGTTTCAGGCCCACCTCACCAAGGCAGCTGCTGCCAGATCCTGTACTGGGCCCCGATTCCCCTCCGCTACCACCTCCATGAATCTCATCTGTATGTAGATGCTGCCAGGAACCCAAACTCTGCAACTGTATTTGACAGCAACTGGATTGGTTGTTTCTGGGTGAAGTTGGAAGTAGGGTACAAATGCTCTCGCTCTCGTGCTCTGACATTACAGCCACTAACACTGGAATAGGGGACTGCAGCTGAACAAGCTGGTGTACTGAAACATTCCAGCTCTACTCCTGACAGCAGGGAGTTAGTATTAAACATCTTTTTAGCCTGCATTATGATTCTTTGACAACTTTTATTCATGTCTGTTTTAATCAAGCCCTGTTCTGAGCATCACTTCTCCAGCACCTGTGACAATGATACCAGGCAGTGTTCTGCATTTAGTTTGCTTAGCCCCTGTTTTCTTGCAATTTCAGCCATAACCAAGCTACGACCTAGATGTGAGGTTTGCTCATTACGTAGTTGGCAGTACACTTCCTAGATTGATCTGTTACTTGGTTGAAGACCTGTTTCTTCCCTTGGGTGGGCTGAATAGATCTGAGAAGTGAAGCTCTTGCTCATTGCCATGTTCACACGACAGCTGTGACCTGGTTGGGTACAGGAGGTCTGTAGCTGGATCAGCTTTCCTTGTATTCCTTTATGGCTCAGCTTTCCTGGAGATTTCTCTTGATGCATACTGGTGCATTTCCCAAATCCCAGTTTTTGCATGGTTGGCCATTCAGCCCTGTGACCCTGCTCCCCCACACAAGGATTGTGGTGATCCTCCACAATTCCTGCTTTCTTTCCTTGCCCCTCGATGAACATTTCCCCAATAAGCTGCATGTGCATCTGCCCCAGGGTTAGGAGCTGTGATGGACAGGCTGACATTGTTCATTGTCAGTTCCAGACATTGCTACAGCATGTGGACCTTGTGCCCATGCAACTGACATTCAAGCACATCCTGCCCCGAATATACATATGAACTTACATTCTCTTGAGCATGTTTGCTGTAGCTTTTGTCTTTCGGTCTTAGAATTCCTGTGGCTTTTTAAGCTTCTCCTTCCTCCCTTAAAAGGCTTGGTTATGGTGTTCCGAGGTTAACTGAACACCAAATGTTTCAGTCTTGCAGAACACTCTCTCTCCAGCCTCTCTTAAATGGTCACATGGCCTGACACCAAAAGGCTAATGATCTGCCTTAACATTCTTTATCTCCATTAGAAATTTTTACCAAAATGTAGACCAGATTCCAAGCAGCATAACTATTGAAGCTTTTGGTCTTTCAATCTTGGTCTCTCTCTGTCAATGATTGCAGGCCACAACAACCAATGGGGAAACTGAATACTTTTTCTTTCTCTCTCTTTGCAGTGTGTACAGCAGATGGCCAGTTCATTCTAGCGATCACCAGGAATCTGACCCGTCCTGCCCTCAACCTGTCATCTCTGTACGTGAAAGATGGACGAGAAGCTGAGTGCAGGCCTAAGCTCATCACAGAGGAACTTGCAGCCTTCCGCTTCCCAATTACCTCTTGTGGCTCGACCCAGCGGGTGAGTATTGGAGGGTCTGGCATTCTGTCCCTTTTGAATGGGCCAGCTCCCTATTAAACAGTGCCCTCCATTGCAGGAGGAGACCGGAAGCTTTGTGTATGAAACGGACATCTTGGGGAAGAGGATGATTCAGACTGGGCCACAGGGCTCAATAACCAGGGACAGCACCTTCAGGTGAGAGGGCAGTGGGGTTTGTTGGTATGTAGAGGGAAGGGTTACTGACAGAAACTCCACCTCTTTGTGTCTCTCAACAGCCTGCACGTCCAGTGCAAGTACAAGGGGGAGCATGAGGCTGGCTTACAAATCAATGTCTCAGTTTACACACTCCCTCCACCATTAGCTGCTTCTGAAGATGGGATTCTGAGGCTGGAACTGCGAATAGCAAAAGGTAGTGCTGCCCTGCTAATAGAGCACTAGGAATGCACTCCTTCAGGGAGTGACTGGTTTGTTCTTGTTTCTGTTAGATGGCAACTACAGGTCGTGGTACAAGGACAGTGACTACCCCATTGAGAGAATCCTTCGGGAGTCGGTGTTTGTTGAGGTTCGTGTGAAGGATCGCGCTGACCCAATGATTGTCCTGAGATTGCGTGACTGCTGGGCAACTCCTGTGCCAGCCCCTGACCATGAGGTGCAGTGGAGTCTCCTGGTGGATGGGTAAGGACTCTGAATGGAAAGGCTAATGGCTTTGTCTTATCACAAAGACCACTATCAATCTGCTCCTGTCAAGGCCACTGTTACTGGATAAACGTTTCTACGGCCTGGGAGAGTAAAAGCAGAGTCAGTAATGCAATTGATCCAGTTTGTGTCATGAACTAACCTCTTCCAATAGCAGCCTGCTTGCACTTTGCAGAAGTTGCAGTAAAAGCAACATGGCTTTGCACTGATGCAATGGCCCAGATTCTGTGAACTTAGAATGGGCAATGTAGATCTCCTAGAATGCACATATGGACATAATGCAAGGACACAGCTCAACATGCTGTCTATCAGACAATAAAAGCCAACTACTCTAGACACTGGAGAAACTGAGTCTGGCAACATCTGTAACCTGAGATCCCATGCAGATCCTTCTAGGTCTAATCAGCCTGTTTAGTCATGTTAGACCCTGCCCCATTCCCAGAACAGGTGCAACTTAGACCCAGAGGTAAGGCCAAGAAGTAAGGACACTGCCACAAGAGGCCTTGTGTGTCCCCCTGCAGCTTATGATTCCTGTGCTCTGGAATGACTAGTCAAATTTACCTAATTGTTTAAATTGGGGTCATCTGGAGCTCTTGCTTAGTTCACATTTTTTTCACCTGAAAAGTGCATGAGGAGGTTTAGCGCCACATTGTTGGATAGGTTTTAATTTGCATTTGAAAACTGATTCCAAAGAAGTTAGTGAGGGCCCTCTTCAATCTCCCACTTTTTTTCCTCATCTAGGAGAACCAACTGGGTTAGAGCAAGGGAGCACAAGGGAAAGTATTCACTTTTGAAGCTCCCATCTGGTCTTGTTTTATACTGCCTAAATGGCCAGGATGTCATTGCAGTCAATCAATATGTCTCCTACTGCCACTGACTGAACCTTCCTGTTTCAGGTGCCCCTATGAGGGTGATGACTACCTGACTGTCCTACACCCAGTAGATGCCTCTTCTGGCCTGCAGTTCCCAACCCATCACAAGCGGTTTGAAGTGAAGACCTTTGTTTTCTTGGATGGAGTGTCTGAGCAGCCCCTCTCTGGACAGGTAACCAAATTCTCAATGAGACTAAGCTTGTGCAATCATCTTGCTGGCTGTTTGTACTACAACTTGGACTTCGCTTCAAGAAGCTCCCCTAAAATCTCTGCTTCTTTCTAGGTGTACTTGCATTGCAGTGCTGAGGTTTGCTCTCCCTCTGATCAGGATGACTGTGCACCCAGATGTGGTTCAAGTGAGTTCCTTTATTCTGTGGAAGGCCGGTGGTGTTTTAAATGGCCTTTATTGAGAAAGTAATGAGCCGTGTGAATGAAGGAGAACTTGCAGATGGCCTTTTGCCTAAAGGCATGTGAAGGTGCCACAGTAAATGAACATGTAGTTTCCCTACAGTGGAAACAGGCCATTTGGCCCAACAAATCCACACCACTCATCTGAAGAGCATCCCTCCTGGACCCATTCCCCTACCCCTGTATTTCCCATGTCTAACTCTCCTAACCTAATCATCTTTGGGCACTATGGCCGATCCATCCTAACCTGCACATCTCTGGACTGTGGGAGGAACCTCTCGCAAACACAAGGAGAATGTGCAAACTCCACGCAGACAGTTGCCCAAGGCTGCAATCAAGCCTGGGTCCCTGGTGCTGAGGCAGCAGTGCTAACCACTGAGCCACTATAGTGCAGGCATGGAATATCAAGAAAGGGACCTTCTAGTTGTAATAGAAAACATGCATGAATGGGTCACCTAAGCTGGCAAGTGAATGTTGGAATTCAGTTCATGCAATCTCTGGGTCCTTCACAAAAGTAAATGTGCAATTGATGAATTAGATTGCAGACATGGATATAAGTAGTGAAGAGAATTGATGGGTAGTAATGTCACTGCACTAGCAATCCAGAACTCCAGGCTAATGTTCAGGCGGTCTGATTCAAACTTCACTGCAGCAAGTAATGAAATTTGTGACTGTTTAATTGCTGTGAACGTTTTTAGGGAATCCTTTCCTTTTTCAGGAAGGGTGCTTCCTGGCCTGGCTGAACCGATACTTGTCTCCAGACCCACAGCAATGTGCTGACACTCAATTGCACTGCCCCCACCCCCAACCCAGGCTGCCAATCCACTGGGATGGGCCATAAATTCTGGCCCTAACAGAGATGCCCCATCCTGTGATCTAACCCCCCTTTTTTTTAGAGGGGTGCAGTGGGCAAGAATTTGGTACTGACATACAAATGAGTTCTCCCTTGGTGTTCTATTCTTCCTGCTTTCTCTGGGGGAACAACAGCAGTAAATGCTCTCCATGTCTCCATTAAACGGATCATGGTTAGTTTGCAGGTGCAGCAACCAGTTGGGAAAGAATATACCGTGGGAGGTTTACCAACAATTCTTAGAAGCACCAGACATGACATCTACTCCATGCAATCGGTTGTCACCTTTTCTATGTCCGTACATGAAACAGTTCAGAAGCTTTGTGGGTCGAGTTGTGGATAGTGCGGACAGCTGTTCTCGGTTACAATGGGATGTTGATCAGATGCAGAGCTGGGCTGAGTAGTGTCAGTTGGGGTTTAACCCTGACAAGTGTGAGGTGTTTCATTTTGGAAGGACAAACTTGAAAGCTGAATACAAGGTGAACAGAAAGATTCTTGGCAGTGTGGAGGAGCAGAGGGATCTCCGGCTTCATATCCACAGTTCCCTGAAAGCTGCCATCCAGGTGGCTAGTGAAGAAGGCGTATGGTGTTAGCTCTCATTAATAGAGGGATTGAGTTCAAGAGCCGTGAAGTTATGCTCCAGCTATACAAAAGCCTGGTTTGGCCACATCTCGAGCACTGTCCAGTTCTGTTTGCCTCATTACAGGAAAGATGTGGAAGCATTGGCAAAGGTGCAGAGGAGACTTACCAGGATGTTGTCTGAATTGCAGGGCAAGTCTTAAGAGGAAAGGTTGCAAGCTTGGGCTTTTCTCTTTGTCATTCTAAAGGATGAGAGGTGACTTGGTAGAGGTACAAAATGATCAGAAGTATAGAGAGTGGCTAGCCAGAGACTTTTTCCTAGGGTGGAGGTAGCTGTTACAAGGGAGCATAGTTTTTAGTGAGTGCAGGTAGATATAGGGGAGATGTCCGAGGTAGGCTCTTTATTCAGTGGTCGGGGTGTGGAATGCGTTGCCGGAGAGGGTAGTGGAGTCAGCCTCGTTAGGGGCATTTAAGCAGCTATTAGATAGGCATATGGATGTTAGTATAAGGTAGGGGCGGAGGTGAGATAGACCTTTTAGGTTTAGGGTAAAAATTCCCCACAAAATCGTGGGGCCCCTTAAAGATCAAATGGGAT